GTGGTTCTTAACCTTCTGGCCCTTTAAATACAGTTCCTCATGTTGTGACCCAACCATAAAATTATTTTCGTTGCTACTTCATAACAGTAATGTTGCTACTGTTATGAATTGTAATGTAAATATCTGATATGCAGGATGGTCTTAGGCGACCCCTGTGAAAGGGTCGTTTGACCGCCAAAGGGGTCGAGACCCACAGGTTTCGAACCACTGATCTAGAGCCTAATATGCAAATTGTCCCCATGGGAGTTCGACTGGGAGACCGGGAGTTTGATTGCTCGCTATGATGTGTGCTGACCACCAGGGGGCGGCGCAGAACAAAGGAAGGCCCTGGCCAACAGCTGGGGAAGGGAGGTCCAGGCCGGCAGCTGGAAGGAAGGCCCTGGCTGGCATCTGGAAGGCCTCGATCTGCCCTGATCACTGACCAGGCCTAGGGACCCTACCTGTGCATGAATTTCGTGCACCGGGCCTCTAGTATAAATATATTTAGGTAGTGTTAAAACCAGACAAAGTAATTTTTTATACTCTGGTTTGTAGTTTTAAAAATGATTCTGTTGAAAAAAATTTTTTTGACCCCCATATTTGAGTATGGCCATCTTAGAGTCCATTTACACAGTGTTAGAACTAGTTTGCCTTTTTAATATGATATGTGAGGAATCTTAAAACCAGAGAGATTGAGTGGCTTCAGCCACATGGCTAGTTCCTGCTAAAGCCAGGTTGACAAACCCTTAAATGTGCCCTTAAGTCCTAATCTAGTGTGTTTGGCAATATATCAGCTTATAATCTCTACTTCAGAGGACAACACAGACAGACACTGTGAAATTTAACCCTTGAGTCCCTTATTATTGAAGAGTTTTGAGTTACAGAGCTGTGCACCTCTGCAAGGTCTGTTCAGTAGGCTTTTTTTTTTTTCCTGTAGTCATTTTTTACTTGCCTGTATTTAGTTTCTAAAGTTTATGACCTCCCGGAAAGAAGAAGGAATGGCTGGGTCTCCTTTTAACTTTGCTCAGACAGTCATAGAGTATGAGAGCAAGGTTAGCTTTGACCTGGCATTGAGGAGTGGAATTGTTTCTTTTTGTCAAACTGGTGGACTTCTGGGAAGTCTTATAGAATCTAATCCAGAAGAATTAACAAAAAGCAGATATATTTCATTTTCTTTCAAATGGTTGAGAAAAGATAGGTTAAGTTTGTGTCAATCTTCAGCCACACACGAGGACCCAGGAGGCTTCGAGATGTAGTTCTTAACCTTCCTTATGCTGTACTCCTATATGGCTTTGGGGCCTGGGTGGGGATGGGGTGGGGTGGGGGTTCAGAACTTTGATTAGAAGCCTAATTATCACAACAGTTTAAGGACTCTTGTCTTGGTTTCTTTCTTATTTACTAAACAATTAACCTTTTTAGGGAAACAAATTTCAGGGCCATTCTCTTGAGGAAGTTGCTGGGTGTTTATTAAGAGCCAGGGACCAGCCCTAACCAGTTTGGCTCAGTGGATAGAGCGACGGCCTGCGGACTGAAGGGTCCCGGGTTCGATTCCGGTCAAGGGCATGTACCTTGGTTGCGGGCACATCCCCAGTCAGGGGTGTGCAGGAGGCAGCTGATCCATGTTTCTCTCTCATCGATGTTTCTAACTCTCTATCCCTCTCCCTTCCTCTCTGTAAAAAAATCAATAAAATATATTAAAAAAAAAAAAAAAGAGCCAGGGACCAATAGAATTTCTAATAGGCAGGCAGGAATACGCCATCAGTGAGGTTTCAGAGACACCCTGGGCTTAAATTCCAGAGGATGTAAACGTTTGGGTAGGAGTGGTAGTATTGGTGGTGCGTGTGGTAGTATAGGTATGCTGTAACAACCCTCAGCTTCAAATGCTATTTAGAAACTAACTAGTTTTGTAAAGTTACTTTTAAGAATTCTGGATTCCCAAATAGCAGGTGCTTTCTTTTGGTCAACCAATAAGAACTTGAAGGGACTCTTTTCCCTGACACTACTTGGGTTATCAACTCCGGGCCAAAAACTCCTGACTTTGGAGACAGGTTTTTCAAAAAGGAGGAGAGGTGATCTTGATGAAACTTCTTTGGGGACATGAGCTATTTCTGGTGCTTCTCCCCAGAGAATAGTTTTTGAAAAAGAAGAGAAGGCATGGTATTAAAAAGGCTTCTGGTGGAGAAAGAAGCTATTAGATTTTTAAAACCACGTACAGTTAAGACAATAGTTTTATTGTTACTAGGAGAGCATCAGTTTGTAAGGACTGTTTATATAATACTACAGGCTCAGTGCACGAATTCATGCACAGGTGGGGTCCCTTGGCCTGGCCAGCAATTGGGGCCACTAGTGGTTGTCCAGGGAGAGGGGCCGCAGGAGGTTGGCCAGCCACCCTGATTGGGGCCGATGGGACCGGCCAGCTGGGTGGAGGGACCGTGGGAGGTTTGGCCGGCTTGGGGGAGGGACCACGGGAGGTTGGCTGTGGGAGCACACTGACCACCAGGGGTCAGCTCTTGCAGTGAGCGTCTTCCCCCTGGTGGTGAGTGCACATCATAGTGACCAGTTGTTCCGTTGTTCAATCACTTAGCCAGTTATATCCTATATGATAAAGAGGTAATATGCAAATTGACCATCATGCCCTCACACAAGATGGCCACCCCCATGTGGTCACAAGATGGCCGCCTCAAGATGGCTGGCAGGGGAGGGCAGTTGTGGGTGATCAGGCCAGCAGGGGAGGGCAGTTAGGGGTGACTAGGCCAGCAGGGGAGGGCAGTTGGGGGCAACTGGGCCTGCAAGGGAGGGCAGTTAGGGGCGACCACGCTGGCAGGGGAGGGCAATTAGGGGTGGCCGGGCTGGCAGGAGAGGGCAATTGGGGGCAATCGGGCCAGCAGGGGAGCAGTTAGTCATCGATTAGGATGGCAGGGGAGTGGTTAGGGTGTGATCAGGCTGGCAGGCAGAAGCGGTTAGGGGCAATCAAGCAGGCAGGCAGGCAGACAAGCGGTTGGGAGCTGGCAGTCCCAGGTTGTGAGAGGGATATCCCACTGCCGGTTTATGGGATCAGGCCTAAACCGGCAGTCGGATAACCCCCGAGGGGTCCCAGATTGGAGAGGGTGCAGGTGGGGCTATGGGACACCCCCCCCTCAGTGCACGAATTTTGTGCACCTGGCCTCTAGTATATAGATAAGCAAAGTCTGTGAAATTTTAATGAATACTAATAATTGGTTGGTTTGTTTCACTACAGGTGCAGGTTATCATTCGGAATCCAAAGCCAAGGAATATAAACATGTATGCAAACGAGCTTGTCAGAAGGTATAATAAAAATTTCCGTTTTGACTATAGAGGAGCTTTACTTTGAAATTCAAAATTTTAAGGGTTGTTGTATAAAATCATCCTTGGTTTGGACCATCAAATAATTTAGCTCATATTTGTGAGGTCTTTGTTTTATTTTGTGTTGTTTTATTCTCCAAATCATGCTTAGAACTTTTCTTCCTTTCCCAGATTAAAATCTGTATTTTTGGAATTATGGGCCCTTAATCATATATCTTTTAGTCTTTGCCAAGACGTTGAGCTCTATAGAAACAGCTCAAAGGCAGCCAATGTGTCTTTCTGTGAAGGTAAAAAAATATTAACAAATGAAAATGGGTGCTTTTCTTAGGGAGATCATCCCTTACATTTTCCTTCTGTTTTTCATCATGTAGTTTGTATCATGGAAATTCATTATCATTCCTGAGTTAGCTTTGCCCTTGTACTGAGTTGTGTGTTTTTTCTCTTTGGTTTTTGAGGTTTTGCTAAATTGTTGAATACTTAATGTGGAATGAGGAATGGAATCAGAAGAAATATTGTTTGTTTTTATTTTGATCCTGACTAAATACTCTTATAGGGAAACCCTTCATTTACTTCTACTTAAATAGAATGTTAATTGCGTATTGTATATCAAGTAAATGAATCTTTCAACCCTTTTTATTTCTATTTACATACCATTTAAAAGAAAGATTATACTTTGTTAGAGATCCAGGCTTTCTGTTACGAATGAAATCCCATAAATAAATAAGAATATTTTCTTCTAGAGATATTTTTAAAAATTTATAATAAAGTGAAAAGTTCTCAAAGTGCTTTTATATTTTTTGTCCTTTATTTTCAAAGTGTGAAATCTTTTCATTATCTAAAAAGAAATGTTTTTCTTATGTAGAACAACTATAGTCCTAGAAATCTAATACATTTGGAGTATATACTCAGCCTCCTCAATTTATACAATGAATGAACTTTTTTGTTTTTAAATATATTTTATTGATTTTTTACAGAGAGGAAGGGAGAGGGATAGAGAGTTAGAAACATCGATGAGAGAGAAACATGGATCAGCTGCCTCCTGCACACCCCTGACTGGGGATGTGCCCACAACCAAGGTACATGCCCTTGACCGGAATCGAACCCGGGACCCTTAAGTCCGCAGGCCGATGCTCTATCCACTGAGCCAAACCGGTTAGGGCAATGAATGAACTTCTTAAAAGTTTAATGCAATTCTGACAGATCAATGATTTTCTCTCATCCTTGATGTTTCTTTCTCTCTCTTCTCTCTTCTTCTCTGAAATTAATAAAAAATATATTAAAAGTTTAATCCAGTTCTGTTTGAGCTTTCTCTTTATAGACTAACTTGGAGCTTTAATAGTTCATTTAGCAATCAGTCTTCCTTGTCTTTCTTTCCTCTCTTAACTTATATTCAAGAAGCAAGGAAGCAAGGTGATTTTATAGACCTTTACTCTGTGTAATTTATATTACAAAAGAATATGATTTGTGCCTGGCCAGTGTGGCTCAGTGGTTGAGTGTTGACCTATGAACCAGGAGGTCACGGTTTGATTCCTGATCAGGGCACATGCTCGGGTTGTTGGAGGTGTGGAGGAGGCAGCCAATCAATGATTCGCTCTCATCATTGATGTTCCTATCTCTCTCCCTGTCCCTTCCTCTCTGAAATCAATAAAAATATATTAAAACAAAACAAACGCCAATTTTGTTTCCCTTGTCGGAGGAGATATATGAGAAAAAATATTGCTGTGAGAAATGTCTGATATTTTACTGCCTATGTTTTTGAGAAGTTGTGGTTTTACAATGAATAATCTCTCCCCTTGGTTTCATAGGCAATTGAAAAGCTACAGGCTGGTGCTCTTGCAACAGATGCAGTGACTGCAGCTCTGGTGGAACTTGAGGTATTTCTTTTCTTTACATTTTATTTAAAATATTTGTGAGTATGTTTGTTATTCTTAAATGACATGAAACTGCCGAGTTAGTCAACCATCAATTATATGACCAGTGTTTACCAACAATATTAACTAAATTGTGAAGAAGCCTATGATATTGTTAGATTGTTTTTATTGGGGATTTCTCTGAGTAATATAAGAAAGTTAGTTAAGTTCCTTTTTCCCATTTTGTGAGATTCATGGATATAAAAGTCACTAGTTACTTAACATTACTGGATACTTACATATCCTCCACATTTTTAGTAGGAAAATTCCTGAAGTTAACTCCCCTAAAAGTAATATGTTTAGAAAACAAAAATTTCCAACTATTTATAAGTGTCTTAAGTGGAAGGGAAAATTTTCTTTCCAACCTAATGGTTCAGTATATATTCTGAAGCTATGCTCTGTGAAGCATGTCTTGTCCAACGTGGTTGTTAGGTTGGTTTCCAGTTACTGGAGACGTTTAGGAATTCAGTGGGGAGGTGCTCAAGTTTGCTCTAATTCTTTGTACTCCAGATTGAGGGTCTCTCAGCTCTCTTAGTGTGGAACCGTGATTATGAGTTTGTCCAGGGGATGTTGAGGCCTTCAGAAGACCAACTTCTGCCACTCACACTTAGAGAAGATAGATTTATGTTAGTTTAGAGCAGTGATGGCGAACCTTTTGAGCTCGGCATGTCAGCATTTTGAAAAACCCTAACTTAACTCTGGTGCTGTGTCACATATAGAAATTTTTTGATATTTGCATCCATAGTAAAACAAAGACTTATATTTTTGATATTTATTTTATATATTTAAATGCCATTTAAAAAAACTCAACCAAAAAAATGAGTTCGTGTGTCACCTCTGACACACGTGTCATAGGTTCGCCATCACTGGTTTAGAGGATTAGAATTAATAAATAGTTTGTTGGTTGAGAAGACTACTTGGGGAATCAAATAAGATAGGAAGATAAAATAGTGATGAGTTTGATGGAGAAGGGGATGGTTAGAGTAGATCTTCCCAAGTTGACTAGATTGTGGCCCTTGTGTTTAGGCTCTCATATCAGGACACTTACCCTGTCATGCCAGGCCCTGCTTTTCCCTGTGAAAATTGCCCAGTGCCTAAAGTCATAGCACTGTTTTCTGTATATTCCCTGAGCTGCACTTTTGATCATGCTTTATACATTTTAATTTCTCCTGTTAATACTTTCAGCTTGGTTTTAGCCAAGGAAGGTAAACAAACATGGTGGGCACCAGTTCTATTATAGTTTGGTCCCAGAGGCATCTGACTTGGGGATATGTGGTCCTTTCCTATTGTGACTGATACCAGTTCTACTAATTATTAGCCATATGTCTGTGGGAACCTCACACCTCTCCTTGATCCAGTTTTTTCATTATAATATGGGGATAATAATGCCTGCTTTACAGAGCTGTGAAGATTAACTGAATTAATATGACAATGTGTGGTACATAGTAAGCAGTTCATAACTGTTAGCAATTATTACTATTAGGAGGTGTTTTAGAAATGATATATATGATGTGAATATTTATAGTAGCTATTAATAACAAGTTTTATAATGTCAAAGAAAGGTTAATTATATATTGTGGATAAGAGGAGAAAAGAAATGCAAGAAAGAAGATTGATGTATACTTAGCACCAAATCTTACCTTTACTCAACACATCCACACAAGGAAAGCTTCATCTAATTTAATTCAGTTGTTAATTGCAAATTACTCTCCTTTGTGCAGAAGATGATGTTCTGAGATTATCTGAGATTACTGGTGTATGGAGTCACTCTCGGTCTGGGGAATGAAGGTTAATGAATAGCTAAAGGATATACTATAATGGCAACTATGAATACAAAATTGAGTAAAATTAAGTTTTCCTTTTTCTTTTCATTTTAGAATAACTTTTATTTCTCCAAGTCATATTTATATCATATTGACTATTTCATTACATTCCTCCCCAGTGAAGTATCAATCATTTCTTAAAAATTTACTTATTTATACTTAAAATGATTTAAATTACATTTGGAATAATGTGTTACACATAAGTAAGTGAACTTTATAATTCTGAATGATGATCTGTGTTTTTTAAGAGTGTGGGCATGTGAAGTTTTTTTTAAACATGTTTTATTATTTTTGATTGTTATAGAATACTGTTCTAAGTGAGATTAGTGTACTTTCCCCCATTAATTTATTAAATTTGGGGAAGACTTTCAGTGAATTATCTTTATTTTTATTTATTTATTTTTTCAGTGAATTATCTTTAAAAATTCATTCTTATGTGGAATCTTTGATTAAAATGTATATTAGTAGTTTAAAGGCTAAGGCTAACCTGGAATCTTTCTGAATCTTAAAAATTATGTTGGGCCTGGCTGGCATGGCTCAGTGGTTGATTGTCGACATATGAACCAGGAGGTCATGGTTTGGGTGCATGCCCGGGTTGTGGCTAGATCCTGTCAGGGTGTTGGGGGGGGCATGCAGGAGGCAGTCGATTAATGATTCTCTCTCATCATTGATGTTTCTATCTCTCTCTCCCTCTCTCTTCCTCTCTGAAATCAATAAAAATATATTAAAAAAAGAATTATGTTGGAAGTCATGTTATAGTGTCTCCTACAGTTTCAGTCATCTTGCATAATTGTGATTCGTAACCTTTAAACAGGGTGAGGTTTTCTTTCTTTTTTTAAAAATTATTTATTGCTGAGAGAGAGAGAAAGAGAGAGAGAGATTGATTGATTTGTTCTCCCACTTATGTATGCAGTCATTGATTGATTCTTATCTATGCCCCCACTGGGGATGGAATTTGCAACCTGGATATATCAGGACAACACTCTTAACAAACTGAGCTACTTGGCCAAGGCTAAGTAGAGTGAGGTTTTCAAATAAAGAGTTGAAGTATTGTAATAGTTTGGGTCAATGGAAAGACATATGAAAATCAGATTCTAATATTTTCTGTACTTCAAGAAATATAAGCAACAATATTGAGTCCTTTCACTCTACTGAAAAGTCCTAGAGGGTCTGATTATGTTTATTGAACATAATTACTTATCTTTGGTTTTGATCAATCTATTCAGTAGAGTTTTAATTCGATCTTTTAAGTCTTGTCCTACTTATTGACTAGATATGGACAGTCATACCATTTCTTTTGGACTTTGGGATATACTTTTTGACTAAAACAAAACTGTACTTTTAAAACTTGCCTGTTACATTATTACTTAGGCAGATAATGAAAATCAATTTGAATTTCTTGAACACTTTACTGATTATAAATTGATATGACTGAAATGCTTTATTGTTCTATGTTGGCTAGAAGGGGTTTCTGGCTTTGTATTTTGAAAAATATGAAAATTTGCAGTTAACCCAAGTAGTATAAAGTTCTCTGATCTCAATTCGACATCATACAGGAGGAAGAGACCAAGTGAAAGAAAAGAAAGTTTATATATGTATGTATGATATACAACCAAAAAATGATGTGGCTAAGTGACCTACATTTAATATAGTCCATCTAGAGCAGGGGTGGGCAAACTTTTTGACTCGAGGGCCACAATGGGTTCTTAAACTGGACCGGAGGGCCGGAACAAAAGCATGGATGGAGTGTTTGTGTGAACTAATATAAATTCAAAGTAAACATCATTACATAAAAGGGTACGGTCTTTTTTTTTTTTTTAGTTTTATTCATTTCAAACGGGCCCGGCCCGCGGGCCGTAGTTTGCCCACGGCTGATCTAGAGTCATCATTGTTCAGCTTTTCTTGGAACCTATTACCTTGTGTAGTTACCTATATCTCATTTACCAGTACAGACAAGTGGTGTTTTCCTAAGATTACCATTTCTTGGCACTAGATTCGGTGTTTCTTACATTTAAATAAGGGAGGAGGGCTGAGCTCATAAGTTCCTACCTATTAAACTGATTAGCTTCTCTCTTCAGGGTTTTGGGAGGGAAGTGGCCACTCCGTAGGAGAGGTGTTTTGTAGTGTGAAAGTGAAAATGATATGACACCAAGTACAATTTGTTTATCTTCAAAATATGGGGAAGGAAATAGATCAGTTTTTAGATCATGTTTTAATAATTTATTATTAAATGTATTTGGTCCCATTGTTTCATTTAGCTATATATAGCTTTTTTGGTATTATCTTTATAACTAATGGTGACTTATATCCATTGGATAGTACAACTCTGATTTCAATCACAGTAGAGAAGATAAATATTGTGAAACAATTTGATCTTTATAGCTAGGGCTATGCATTTGGAAGACAGTTGCTTTCATGGCTGCTTTTGCAATAGTTTTGGTTCAGGTAGTGACAGTGAATTTTAAATTCTAAAGATAATTTTGCACATTTTACATGGTACAGCTTCTGATATGAATTTTTTCTTTGAGAAAATTGGATATAGGTCTGGGTGAGTCATGATGCCACTTCTATAGTAGGAAGTATTTTATAGATTGGGATAGAAAATGAGCTAGAACTCATTAAATAATTACGGAAGCTCCCTTTGCAAATCGATTAAAAAATACTTTTATTGATTTCAGAGAGGAAGGGAGAGGGAGAGAGAGAAACATCCTATATAATAAAAGCGTAGTATGCAAATTGTCCCCTCGACCGGGAGTTCGACCAGGGTAAGGGAGGGAGGCCCCAGCCAGTGGTGGCAGCAGGCGGCCAGGGGAAGGGAGGGAGTACCCAGCCGGTGGCCGGCAGCCGGCAGCCGCTGGGGACCCTACCAGTGCACGAATTTCACGCACTGGGCCTCAATGATGAGAGAGAATCATTGATCAGCTGCCTCCTGCATGCTTCCTACTGGGGTTTGAGCCCACAACCCGGGTATGTGCCCTTGACTGAAATCGAGCCCAGGACCCTTCAGTCTGTAGACTGATGCTCTATCCATTGATCCAAACCAGCCAGGGCTTGATTTTTTTTTTTTTAAGTACTAAGGCCTGGTTATAAAATTCTAATAAGAAATAATAGATGAAATTTGAGTGACAAACCTTTGAGAAA